CCCGCCCGCAGAGCTGGGCTATCCCTGCTGCCCCGCGGGGAAACTGAGGCACGGGCCGAGCGCCTGGGGGTCGCCGAGGGAGTGCGCAGCGGTGACAGGGACCGAGGGCTGCTCTTGCTGGCCCCCTCCGTCACCCGCCGCTCTGGTCCACGGGGGGCCCCGGTAAATCTCTGCCCCCCCTTTCTGGGACATTTCTCCCCACCGCTACGGGGGCACCTGTGGTGACACTGCCGTCCCTGTGCGTGTCCCCCACGGCGAGCTGTGCCACAGCACAGCACCGGGGCATCCCCAGCCCGGCTCATCCCGTCCCCAGCGGCCCCCAGTTCCCTGCCCTGCCTGGCGATGGGAATCGGCGCCCGGCCCAGCGCGGCGCTCCACCGGGAACCGTCCTCGGCGCGGAACCAGCACAGGAGGCTTCACAGACCACGCAGCGCTCTGGCCGCGGGTGCTCAGTGCCGGCGGCGTGGAGGTGCTCCTCCTGGTCCGCGGGTTTCAGGAATCTGGCACCAGCCCCTCCTCTTGGCATCTCGGAGGAGAGCGAATGCCGCCGGCCACGCCAGCGGCAGCGGGTTTGGGGCTGGGGGGATCCCCTCTTGCTGCGGCCTCTCTCCAGCGAGGGATTCGGCCGGATCCTCTCCTGGGACCCTCGCTCTGCTCCTGGCAACGCAGCGGAGTGCGCCCCGCGCCGAGGACGCAGAGACCCCGCAGCCACGCTGCCTGCAGGGGCAGAGGGACCGGGCGGGAGCGGGATGCCGAGCAGATGGCCGCGGCGGGGCGACAGGAGGGCAGAGCGGGGCTGTCCCCTGTCCCCAGCACCCGGCAGGATGGCCGGGGCCCCGCGGTGACCAGCCCAGGGACAGCCGCGGGGCCCTCGGAGGTCCCTCGCCAACCCCCCGGCCACGGCCGGACCATCCGGCAGAGCGGAGCCACCGCCCGCCGCATTCCCACCGGCTCCCACCAGCGCCGGCTGCGGGATCCGCCATCGGCAAACTCGGCCCCAAGTCAAACCAGGGGAGAAGAGAAGCCCCCTCCTCCAGAGCCGCCGGCTCCACTGAACGCGCGATCACGCCGCTCAGGATGTCACGGCGCGGGTGCCAGGCGATTCCCAGAGAAGCGGGCCCCGACGGCCGTCCCTGAGGAGCTGTGCCGACGCGGATGCGAGGGAAGAAGTAATTTAGGAAACGGCCTTGCCAACATCCGAGCCGATTTATTAACCCGGGTCCTGCTGCTGGGGCCTGCCCCAGTCCTGTCCTTCCCCCGCGAGCTGCACCCCCGGTCCCGCGCTTTGGGGCGCCCATCCCTGCCGGAGCCTCGAGCATCCCCGTCCCGACACGAGGGGCTCGGCGATTCCCCGGACACCGGAACCCCACGGCGGCACCGGAGAGGGGGAGCCGGGAGGGGACGGACACCGGAACCCACGGCCGGCACGGGGGAGGTGGAGCCGGGAGGGGGCGATGGCAGGACGGGCTGCCACGTGGCTGGGGTGTCCCCGAG